ATCCCCACCCCTCAACAGCACCATGGTAACATGCCAAATTCAAATAATCTTATCTAAATCTAATTCATAAAGCCATTTAAACTCAAATTTGTTCTAAGATCATTTTTAAGGTGATCTGTTAATGTGTAACTTTGGTGACCCCCAGTGGCATTATGAAGTACATCCAGAGAATGCAGACTTTAGAGATTCTTCATGGCGTCCTAACATGTAGTATGGCTGAAAAAGAAACATTTCAGTATAAACTTAAAGTCATGGCAATTGTACAGAAAGATACAAAGTTAAAAGACTCTCAGTGTTGGCACAAGATTACTGTTTATCTAAAGAGTTTATCTAAACAGGTTGTCCAAACCCAACCCCAACATTAGCATGGTGTGGAATGCTTTTCTATTACTAACAAACTACCTGTGGTGGAAAAATGTCACTAAATTAGAGATGCTTAAAACATTAACACTCTCTCAGAGTGTTTGTCCTGTTAGGCAGAAACAGCAGAAGTGTAGTCATGCACATATATATACTTCCTCATACACTCTGTTCTTCCTGTTAAAGTGCAAAATCCACCCAGCTTACTTGAGTTTTCATTTCACACTACATGACCTAGTGTAGTGGTTGGTTGGGTAGTTAGTCTTTGGGTTTAGGTCAAAAAGAAAATAGTTGCAGCTTTAAAATATTGTTTACTGAGCATTGTAAAAAAAAAAAAAACTAAATAAAAGAACATCAGACAAGTCAGGCTTTACTGAATGTTTATATATTAGATCCTGGGGGGAGACACAAATCCTTTTTAGGGTGCGCCAGAAGGCCATCTGGCGTAAAAATCAAACATCCACATGTGGCGACCCTTTGTGAATAAGGGAGCAGCCAAAAGTAGCTTTAATAATACGTTAACACCCTCCATCTGATCGTGAGGCTTTTGAAACCTTTAACTTTGACGTCAGTGTGCGAAACCTTTGTTCTTCAGAAACAAGAACACTAGCAAAGAGGACTGAAAAAGGGCAGGGTCACTGTGAATAGAAAAGGAAACAGTAATGGGTGGGTTGCTCATGTGTATCGGCAGGTGAATGGGGCGACTTTGAAAACTGGGATGGATTTTTTTAAGATTCCTAGTCTGATGATTTTCAATTGTTAGACCCATTATTAGCATACTATGATTCAATATTTACAAATTTAAGAAAGAGAGAAGTATATATATATTAAGTCGTGGCTAATAAAATAAAAATGTGCACTTAACTAGCAATTTATGAGAATGTAAAATACAACTTTTGACACTAAGGACTGACTGAGTCTGATGGACATAGTCAAGACAGAAAATGTTTAAAATATTAATAATTTTGCAAACGCTGCAAATTAGTCTCAACAGATCTGGTGGTTTGTTGTCACCAAAGCTGAATAAAGTTTTTCAGAAGGTGCAATATTCAGAAAAATTTGCAACTAACACATTGTTTACAGTGGCTTGCAAAAGTATTCGGCCCCCCTGAACTTTTCCATATTTTGTCACATTACAGCCACAAACATGAATCAATTTTATTGGAATTCCACGTGAAAGACCAACACAAAGTGGTGCACACGTGAGAAGTGGAACGAAAATCATACATGATTCCAAAAACTTTTTATAAATAAATCACTGCAAAGTGGGGTGTGTGTAATTATTCAGCCCCCTGAGTCAATACTTTGTAGAACCACCTTTTGCTGCAATTCCAGCTGCCAGTCTTTTAGGGTCTGTCTCTACCAGCTTTGCACATCTACAGACTGAAATCCTTGCCCTTTCTTCTTTGCAAAACAGCGGCCACACATAACGTTTTGTATTTTGGCTAAAAAGTTCCATTTTGGTCTCATCTGACCAGAGCACCTTCTTCACATGTTTGCTGTGTCCCCCACATGGCTTGTGGCAAACTGCAAACGGGACTTCATATGGTTTTCTGTTAACAATGGCTTTCGTCTTGCCACTCTTCCATAAAGACCAACGTTGTGCAGTGCACGACTAATAGTTGTCCTATGGACAGATTCCCCCACCTGAGCTGTAGATCTCTGCAGCTCGTCCAGAGTCACCATGGGCCTCTTGGCTGCATTTCTGATCAGCGCTCTCCTTGTTCGGCCTGTGAGTTTAGGAGGACGGCCTTGTCTTGGTAGGTTTACAGTTGTTCCATACTCCTTCCATTTCTGAATGATCGCTTGAACAGTGCTCCGTGGGATGTTCAAGGCTTGGGAAATCTTTTTGAGGCCTAAGCCTGCTTTAAATTTCTCAGTAACTTTATCCCTGACCTGTGTGGTGTGTTCTTTGGACTTCATGGTGTTGTTGCTCCCAATATTCTCTTAGACAACCTCCGAGGCCGTCACAGAGCAGCTGTATTTGTACTGACATTAGATTACACACAGGTGCATTCTATTTAGTCATTAGCACTCATCAGGCAATGTCTATGGGCAACTGACTGCACTCAGACCAAAGGGCGCTGAATAATTACTCACACCCCACTTTGCAGTTATTTATTTGTAAAAAAAAATGTTTGGAATCATGTATGATTTTTGTTCCACTTCTCACGTGTACACCACTTTGTGTTGGTCTTTCACGTGGAATTCCAATAAAATTGATTCATGTTTGTGGCTGTAATGTGACAAAATGTGGAAAAGTTCAAGGGGGGCAAATAGTTTTGCAACCCACTGTACAATATTAGAGAAGTGAGTTCTCCAAACTTAAAATATTTTATTTACCAAGAATACCACAAGGATGAAAATGTCATGGTATCACAAAGGGATTTGGAATTTTAAAAATAAAGGGATTTGATTGGTTTTAACATTGTAACAGTCACTGAATTTGTGTACGTTAACCCATCTTTTTAATGTGATGTCTTTTCTAAAATAAAACCTAAATATTTATCTTGTGTTATATGATAAACATTTACAAGGATGTTTATCAGTTTTATGGCACAACTGCTTTTTTGAATAAATAAGGAAATACTCACACAGATGCATTTCTAATTTAGATGATAGGTAGTAAAGAAATATCGTTGTATGTTGAAGAGACAGACAGTCAAACGCTAAACTGTCATTTGCCTCTCACTTTGCTTGTGATCTAATCATTTTTTTAGTTACCCACTTTGCTACTATAAATGTACTTTTACATGTGACTTGTGGCTACAGTTAGTAAATATTTCAACAAACCTTTACTATCATATCATAAAACCACAAAGATTCACCTCATAATTCTGTGGCAGATGCAATAAAATACTTGCTGAAATGATTTGCAGCGACCATGACTGTCGTTTACAATTATGAAAGAACCTTATTCTGAGCCTGAGTTGCCTCTAATGCATCTATCGGGGTGTGAGTTTGTGCGTGAATGGTTTAGAAAAGTGCTTGTATAAATGTGTGTATGATCGGCTGAACAAAGCTTGTAGTTTAAAGAAAGACCTGTGATCAGGTTATATGTCTTTAGAACGTGTTTATCTTCGTGAAGATTCCCTCTGGGATTAATAAAGTCTCTCTGGTTAAGTCTGTCTGGTTTTAAATTGTTCTGTAAAACATGTAGCATTTTGCCAGCATTTTACTGAGTATCTGGAACTTGGAAATGAGTAGTTTCAATTTTCTCCTGTGTGTTTTATCAGGCCACTTCATTCTCAAATAATCAAGTTTGGAGTCAGTCAGCATTTTAAGTTGTTCAAGTGACCAAGAACCAAAGATCATGAGACAGCTGTGCTCATTATTGGACTGAATGTAAAAAAGGGTCACGATCGGTGAAAACAGAAAGAAACTGTTATGATTTTTTTGCAGGGTAAATATTCACATAGTGAAGAAAAACCTAAAAGCAAATAGGTTCATTGTGCAGTCAAGAACAATATATTCACAAATCAAACCATATAAACAGACGTCAAACAAAAAACAAATCTAAAGCCTCTTTAACTGAAAAAAAAACATATTTCCTCTGCTTTCAGCATCTGAATGTTTAAATTAGTAAGTTTACTAGTGTAGTTCATAACTAGGTTAGAACAATATCATTTCATTGCATTATGGCTTCCAAAATTGTCACTAGTTGACTGAAAAACTTGCTAAACTGAACACTAAAACATTGTGTTTTAAGGTCTGTTCCGCCATTATTAGAAGTTAATAATTGGCCATATCTGTGAGCCTTGTGAGGGAGACAATGATGCAGGTTTGAGCTATGATGCCATGAGTTTAATATTTAGCTGAGTGGGAAACAGTTTGAAAGGTAACATATCAGCAAGTAACTGTGAGCTATTTAAATTTTGGCTAATAAGTAATGTGGAATCAAAGCTTGGTATTTGGCTCGATACCAGGATACAGATGAAATACAAAGCTGACGTGCATGTTGTATTTATATATGCTGTGAGCAGCTTTACTTTATCCCCGAGGAATCAGATATCATCATGAAATCCAAGGAGGAGGAAGAACAATATTCAGAACAGCAGTTCCCCACATTTCTTCGTACCTTCAAGGCTGTTGAAGGATTAGAGATGGTTAGTTATTAGCGGAGTCTACTTCCTTGTTTGTACTAACTAGCACAAAATCGTGTTCTTTTCAGCTGTTACAGTGAAACTTTATCACACGCTACTGAGCTTTTGTGTGTTTTTTTTTAACCATCAAAATAGAAAATGTGATACCTAAACAGATCTGTGTGTAAACATTTTGAGGTTTCTAATTTAATTTCTGGTTCCTGAACACTTACACATTATGTGTAGGAAAATGTACAGATGAAATAATTCCCCACATGAGTGTGATTTGCAAGGATTTCTGGTCGAGAAACAGCTTGACGCTGCCATCAGGTCAAGTCAAGTTTTGGCTGGTTTGACCTGATAGCAGGTTCACTCTCCTTTCACGCAGAAGGAACAAAAAAATCCTGCATACACATCCAGCTTTGAATTTCAGCAGTGACCTGTGACATCGAACAGCTGGTTGGTTTTGATGCTTTAAATCTGTTCAAAACTAAATGCTGACCTCTGCTGGTGTAAAAATGATTTACCTTGTTTTTTTTTCTGTGTTAATCTCTGCAGAGCTCCCAAGCACAAAATATCTGTAAGTACTGGTTCCTCATTTATTCATGTGCTCTCTGTTTAATATTTTGACTTTTTTATAGCTCAAAACTGAAGTTTTGTGAATTTCTCACTGTTGTTTTGAATGTCTTGGTTTTCTTGTTCTTCTTTTTAGCGAATTGTGCAACAGGAACCTTAAATATAACAACCACCACAACAACAGCAGATGTCACCTTTCAACTTGACCCAAACTGCAGCTTAACAGTTGGCAGTAATATGTCTGAAAATAGTTTAATAACTGGTCTGACTCCTGGAGCTGTCTATCACATTGTCTTAAACTGTTCAGGCTCCTGCAATGTGTCAAACATCACAACAAGTAAGTCATTTTATTTTTCTTAATTATATAAACTAATGATTCTGTGAGTTGGATGATAGTGATGTTAATATTGTTTTATAGCCAAGAATGAGGATATGATGAACTGATTCTTTTCCTGTTGGCGTATCTCTAATTCACAGAGCCAGAAACGGTCAGTTTAACAGTCACTAATATCACAACATCCTCTATGTTTGTGAGCTGGACTAAACCAGTGGGAAGCAGCTCCTTCTATAAAGTACAGTGGACAGTTGGAGGAACGAACTTCTCTGTAAATGTCAATGTGACAAGTTATACTATTACTAACCTGACTGCTGGTGTCCAGTATGAAATAACTGTCACTGCAGTGGCAGATGATAATTATACTGAAGGACAGAGTGCTACTGTCACCATCTATACAAGTAAGTGAGCATTTACATGTTTTCATACTGTGAATTAGTGACTGTCTGCTGAGGATATCTGGTAAAATAAGGAGTCTTCTATCATCATAAGATAAGTTAAATTCAAAGGAAAGTAGAAGAAGAAATCCAGATGTAGAAGAAGAAGCCCTTTGAAGTGAGAAGGTTGGCTCTCTCACCGATGTGTCCTCATATAACAGCTGTAGTTGTGCTCACTCTGTGTTTGAGTAACAGCTCCAATAATGGTTTGCATTTCTTTTGTACGTCTAGTTTAGAGCTTCCTCTGAACTTCCAGCTGCATGAAATGTTACAGGGTCAGCATGTTGCTGCTCGTGTGTTTTTACTGTAACTTTGAGACAGAGAAGACTTGAGCTGATTTTTAAATTCTTACCCATGTAGTGACTTCTCCCTTACAGAGCCTGAAGTAGTCAGATTACTCAGTGTTACTGCTTTCACAACGTCCTCTGTATCACTGAAGTGGACTGAAGCAGAGGGAAACAGCTGCTTCTATCTTGTAGAGTGGACAGATAGACATTTAAATGAGAATCAAGTGTGAATAACACATAAATAACCATCAGTGCACTAACTGCCTGTATGCAGTACAGATTTAGAGTTTCTGCAGTGGCTGGTGATGAGCAAACTATGGGAGCTTCAGAGTTAATTTCACTGTATACAAACAGGATGTGCAGGAATTCAACTTCTGAATGAATTTCTAATCAATGTTTTCCAAATGCTGTCCGTTAGTGTTTTTCTCTCAATCTTGTTATTTTTGCATCTACCTCTCTGTAACTCACAGAACCCGAGAAAGTGAATGATCTTAATGTCAGTGAAATCAGGACATCCTCTATATTTCTGAACTGGACTGAGCCACAGGGTCAAAGGTCTTTCTATAGAGTAGAGTGGACAGATGGAACAATAAACATGAATAAGACTGTGACTGAAACTAAAGTAAATGTCACTGAGCTGACTCCTGGAGCGAACTACACTTTCACTGTCATAGCAGTGGCTGGAGATAACAATACACAAAGTGACGTAGCAACACTTTCTCAATACACAAGTAAGATCGAGATTGTGAGTTTTGTCTCTTCCAAATGATCATGGAACCATTTTTACTTTAGGTTTCTTCATTGAAGTCTTTATATTTTCATACTGCACTTTTCTTCAATTTCTTCTCTTGTAGTGGGTAAAACAGTTTCTTAAAATCTAATAGTGGAACGTTTTTTAAAGTCTTCAACACAAAACTTTTTTTTTTAAATTCTTATATCCCAGTGATGTGATTTTTAATCAACAGGCTGAACAATTTACCTTTAACTGATTTTTAACGTGTCCCACTTCATTCAGTCCTCGTGTTGCTTATTCGCCACAGCTACTGGTCATATTTTTGGCGTTCACACTTGGTGTTAGCTCTTTCTGGGATATAGAATCACTTCCTATTCCTGCTGTAACACACAGTGATGTTTTGTGTAACTTATGTCAGTGGCCTATTTAATCAAAGAGATTTAGGTAAAGACTTATTTCATTACAGATTCTTGACACACCTTTTCCAAAGGATGCCCTCTACCAAAACACCAACTAATTGTATTTGTTCATTTTGACTGTAGGTATTTGCTAGTTTAGCGTAGCTGGTAGCCGAGTCGCTATCACCCTGACATCTTCAGCTGTCTCTCCTGCAGCTTCCTCCTCAGTGTGTCAGATCTTTAGCTACTCATTTGATGAAAAATACAAACAGCCCCATGTTTCTCTTCTTTACCGTGGCTGGGCTGGTAACATATGAGTGCTCTGTTGAAGCGAGTTTTTCTTTAACCTTAACTAGTGGTGATTGCATGTATTTTTTCCACAAAGAAAACTGTAATGTTTAGAGTAAAAATGACTCATGACCGTCTGACTGATGTATCATTATGTACAGCTACTTCCAACGCTTCTGATATTTATTTAGATGCTTGCTGTCCGACTGATCCTTCTGAGTGAACTCCATGAATCACTTCTTCCAAAGCATTAATGTGTCTTTTTAGATCCCATGCATTTTCTGCTCTAACAAATTCTACAGTGAATTAATGATTCAGTCTAAAAAATGATCAATCTGTCTCTATTAGTGTTGTATGTAACACAGGCCTTTAAGGTGGCAGATGGTTGCCACTACCTGAGCCTGTTTCTGCTGGAGGTTTCTTCCTGTTAAAAGGGAGTTTTACCTCCCTACAGTCACCAAGTGCACAAAGGAGGCTGTTTGATTGTTGCCGTTTTCTCTCTTTTAGTGTAGGGTTTTTACTAAAGTGCTTTGAGCTAACTAATTTGGCTCTATTTAAAGAAAATAAAATTGAATAGAATTGACTTCTCATGCAATTACCCTCTACTCACAGAGCCTAAATTAGTCAGGGATCTCATTGTCACTGAAATGAAAAACTATGAGAGCTGCAGAGTTAATTTTACTGTATACACATAAGATATGCAGGAATTCAACATCTGAATGAATTTGATATCAATGTTTTTCAAATGCTGTCCCTTAGGTGTTCTTTACTAAATTTGCTGCATATTTGATGGTATAATTTTCTAATTTTAAAATATATTTATGTCAGTTTTTGTTTTTTTGCATCTACCTCTCTGTAACTCACAGAACCCGAGAAAGTGAATGATCTTAATGTCAGTGAAATCAGGACATCCTCTATATTTCTGAACTGGACTGAGCCACAGGGTCAAAGGTCTTTCTATAGAGTAGAGTGGACAGATGGAACAATAAACATGAATAAGACTGTGACTGAAACTAAAGTAAATGTCACTGAGCTGACTCCTGGAGTGAACTACACTTTCACTGTCATAGCAGTGGCTGGAGATAACAGTACACAAAGTGACGTAGCAACACTTTCTCAATACACAAGTAAGATGAAGAGTATGACCATTTCTGATCTGGGGTCTCGTGCTCTGTACTGTGTCACTGTTTCATTTTTTATCTTGTAGTTTATTATTTGTCAACTTTTTAGGATAGTTTTTTTTTCTAGTGAAGCAGTTACTTCAAAAATTATAGAAATTATTGTGACTTGAAGACTTCAAATCTAAAAACACTTTTTATTCATGTGTGACATGGGTTTTTTGTTAAAAAGCTTTTTATGATTTATTCACATATCCTCTCAGGTCTTTCTTAATTCAGTCCTCTTGGTTCTTACCTGTTGCAGTCACTGCTTATTGTTCTTAGCTCAGTAGTTCTTTTGTTTTCTTGTTCCTCCTCATGTACTCTCCACTCATAGAGCCTGAAGTAGTCACGAGTCTCTCTGCTGTTAACGTCACAACATCGTCTGTTTTTGTGAGCTGGACTAAACCAGTGGGAAACAGCTCCTTCTATAAAGTACAGTGGACAAACTTCTCTGTAAATGTCAATGTGACAAGTTATACTATTACTAACCTGACTGCTGGTGTCCAGTATGAAATAACTGTCACTGCAGTGGCAGATGATAATTATACTGAAGGACAGAATGCTACGGTCACCATCTACACAAGTAAGTGAGCATTTACATGTTTTCATACTGTGAATTAGTGACTGTCTGCTGAGGATATCTGGTAAAATAAGGAGTCTTCTATCATCATAAGATAAGTTAAATTCAAAGGAAAGTAGAAGAAGAAATCCAGATGTAGAAGAAGAAGCCCTTTGAAGTGAGAAGGTTGGATCTCTCACCGATGTGTCCTCATATAACAGCTGTAGTTGTGCTCACTCTGTGTTTGAGTAACAGCTCCAATAATGGTTTGCATTTCTTTTGTACGTCTAGTTTAGAGCTTCCTCTGAACTTCCAGCTGCATGAAATGTTACAGGGTCAGCATGTTGCTGCTCGTGTGTTTTTACTGTAACTTTGAGACAGAGAAGACTTGAGCCGATTTTTAAATTCTTACCCATGTAGTGACTTCTCCCTTACAGAGCCTGAAGTAGTCAGATTACTCAGTGTTACTGCTTTCACAACGTCCTCTGTATCACTGAAGTGGACTGAAGCAGAGGGAAACAGCTGCTTCTATCTTGTAGAGTGGACAGATAGACATTTAAATGAGAATCACAGTGTGAATAACACATAAATAACCATCAGTGCACTAACTGCCTGTATGCAGTACAGATTTAGAGTTTCTGCAGTGGCTGGTGATGAGCAAACTATGGGAGCTTCAGAGTTAATTTCACTGTATACAAACAGGATGTGCAGGAATTCAACTTCTGAATGAATTTCTAATCAATGTTTTCCAAATGCTGTCCGTTAGTGTTTTTCTCTCAATCTTGTTATTTTTGCATCTACCTCTCTGTAACTCACAGAACCTGAAAAAGTGAATGATCTTAATGTCAGTGAAATCAGGACATCCTCTATATTTCTGAACTGGACTGAGCCACAGGGTCAAAGGTCTTTCTATAGAGTAGAGTGGACAGATGGAACAATGATGGTCATAGTCAAAAAAGGGACCCTTTTGGGTCCCCTTGGATTTTTGATTCTCAATATATCAGTCATTTTAAAGACTAGTTGCATGAAACTTGGCTAGGATGTGCATTTTAGCATTATTTTTAAAATTCATTGATCCCCTCTATGGTGTTGTGTATAGTAAAGGAGATTCACATAAGTGTTACCATCTGTGGTCCTCGTACCATTTTGGGTCCCATTGACTCCCATTATAATCACATATTTTCGATATACTGTAATCCTGACATGTGATAATTTTTTTCTCGTGAATACCTAATGGATCTAAGCCTCAGGCTTCAAAATAAAGGAAAAATATGTTTTGGATCCAATGAGCACAATATTAGGTACAGCACCACCATAGACATTTTCAGTGGTTTTGAATGCAGGACATGGTTATCTTATTATGCAAAATACATGACAATAAAACAGCTGACCACCATAAAATAGTCTCGATGTAGTGGAACTGATATAAGAGAGTGGTGTGAATGTGATTGAGAATATATTTATAATATATATTACGGGTTCCCCCCCCCCCCCCCCCCCCCCCAAAAAAATAAATAAATAAAAAATAAACAGGGGTCTTTATGACAATAAAGCTATGAAAACATAAAAAATATTTACAAATTTATGAAAAACTTTATATCTGTGGTTAGGTCTGAAGTTGTTTAAAAGATCTGATGTGAAAAAAAATGAAAAAACAATTCATAAAATTCATTGCTATATCACCTTTTGGATGGTATATTGCAAAAACTCTTATTGCTCCAAAAATAATAATGCATCCAAATCAATTCTATTGTGAATTCTTTACCTATCCAAGGCTCTAATAACCTCATGCCAAGTAGTTCCATTTGCAACTCATTTTTTAAAAATATTGCATATTATGGTTTTTTACCCCCCAAAATATAAACAGGGGTTTTTATGACAATAAAGCCATAAAAACCTAAAAAATATTTAAAAAATTATGAAAAACTTTATATCAGTGGATAGGTCTGAAGTTGTTTAAAAGATCTGATGTGAAAAAAAATGAAAAAACAATTCATAAAATCCATTGCTATATCACCTTTTGGATGGGGACCATTTTGGGTCCCGAGGACCATAAAAGGGTGTAAATTTGAAAAACTCTTATTGCTCCAAAAATAATAAAGTATCCAAATCAATTCTGTTATGAATTTTTTACCTATCCAAGGCTCTAATAACCTCATGCCAAGTAGTTCCATTTGCAACTCATTTTTTGAAAATATTGCATATTATGGTTTTTTACCCCCCAAAATATAAACAGGGGTCTTTATGACAATAAAGCCATAAAAACCTAAAAAATATGAAAAAAATTATGAAAAACTTTATATCAGTGGATAGGTCTGAAGTTGTTTAAAAGATCTGATGTGAAAAAAAATGAAAAAAAAATTCATAAAATCCATTGCTATATCACCTTTTGGATGGGGACCATTTTGGGTCCCGACGACCGTAAAAGGGTGTAAATTCTGACGACCATCCAAGAGATAAGACTGTGACTGAAACTAAAGTAAATGTCACTGAGCTGACTCCTGGAGTGAACTACACTTTCACTGTCATAGCAGTGGCTGGAGATAACAATACACAAAGTGACGTAGCAACACTTTCTCAATACACAAGTAAGATCAAGATTGTGAGTTTTGTCTCTTCCAAATGATCATGGAACCATTTTTACTTTAGGTTTCTTCATTGAAGTCTTTATATTTTCATACTGCACTTTTCTTCAATTTCTTCTCTTGTAGTGGGTAAAACAGTTTCTTAAAATCTAATAGTGGAACGTTTTTTAAAGTCTTCAACACAAAACTTTTTTTTTTAAATTCTTATATCCCAGTGATGTGATTTTTAATCAACAGGCTGAACAATTTACCTTTAACTGATTTTTAACGTGTCCCACTTCATTCAGTCCTCGTGTTGCTTATTTGCCACAGCCACTGGTCATATTTTTGGCGTTCACACTTGGTGTTAGCTCTTTCTGGGATATAGAATCACTTCCTATTCCTGCTGTAACACACAGTGATGTTTTGTGTAACTTATGTCAGTGGCCTATTTAATCAAAGAGATTTAGGTAAAGACTTATTTCATTACAGATTCTTGACACACCTTTTCCAAAGGATGCCCTCTACCAAAACACCAACTAATTGTATTTGTTCATTTTGACTGTAGGTATTTGCTAGTTTAGCGTAGCTGGTAGCCGAGTCGCTATCACCCTGACATCTTCAGCTGTCTCTCCTGCAGCTTCCTCCTCAGTGTGTCAGATCTTTAGCTACTCATTTGATGAAAAATACAAACAGCCCCATGTTTCTCTTCTTTACTGTGGCTGGGCTGGTAACATATGAGTGCTCTGTTGAAGCGAGTTTTTCTTTAACCTTAACTAGTGGTGATTGCATGTATTTTTTCCACAAAGAAAACTGTAATGTTTAGAGTAAAAATGACTCATGACCGTCTGACTGATGTATCATTATGTACAGCTACTTCCAACGCTTCTGATATTTATTTAGATGCTTGCTGTCCGACTGATCCTTCTGAGTGAACTCCATGAATCACTTCTTCCAAAGCATTAATGTGTCTTTTTAGATCCCATGCATTTTCTGCTCTAACAAATTCTACAGTGAATTAATGATTCAGTCTAAAAAATGATCAATCTGTCTCTATTAGTGTTGTATGTAACACAGGCCTTTAAGGTGGCAGATGGTTGCCACTACCTGAGCCTGTTTCTGCTGGAGGTTTCTTCCTGTTAAAAGGGAGTTTTACCTCCCTACAGTCACCAAGTGCACAAAGGAGGCTGTTTGATTGTTGCCGTTTTCTCTCTTTTAGTGTAGGGTTTTTACTAAAGTGCTTTGAGTTAACTAATTTGGCTCTATTTAAAGAAGATAAAATTGAATAGAATTGACTTCTCATGCAATTACCCTCTACTCACAGAGCCTAAATTAGTCAGGGATCTCATTGTCACTGAAATGAAAAACTATGAGAGCTGCAGAGTTAATTTTACTGTATACACATAAGATATGCAGGAATTCAACATCTGAATGAATTTGTAATCAGTGTTTTTCAAATGCTGTCCCTTAGGTGTTCTTTACTAAATTTGCTGCATATTTGATGGTATAATTTTCTAATTTTAAAATATATTTATGTCAGTTTTTGTTTTTTTGCATCTACCTCTCTGTAACTCACAGAACCTGAAAAAGTGAATGATCTTACTGTCAGTGAAATCAGGACATCCTCTATATTTCTGAACTGGACTGAGCCACAGGGTCAAAGGTCTTTCTATAGAGTAGAGTGGACAGATGGAACAATAAACATGAATAAGACTGTGACTGAAACTAAAGTAAATGTCACTGAGCTGACTCCTGGAGTGAACTACACTTTCACTGTCATAGCAGTGGCTGGAGATAACAATACTCAAAGTGACGTAGCAACACTTTCTCAATACACAAGTAAGATGAAGAGTATGACCATTTCTGATCTGGGGTCTCGTGCTCTGTACTGTGTCACTGTTTCATTTTTTATCTTGTAGTTTATTATTTGTCAACTTTTTAGGATAGTTTTTTTTTCTAGTGAAGCAGTTACTTCAAAAATTATAGAAATTATTGTGACTTGAAGACTTCAAATCTAAAAACACTTTTTATTCATGTGTGACATGGGTTTTTTGTTAAAAAGCTTTTTATGATTTATTCACATATCCTCTCAGGTCTTTCTTAATTCAGTCCTCTTGGTTCTTACCTGTTGCAGTCACTGCTTATTTTTCTTGGCTCAGCAGTTCTTTTGTTTTCTTGTTCCTCCTCATGTACTCTCCACTCATAGAGTCTGAAGTAGTCATGAGGCTCTCTACTGTTAACGTCACAACATCGTCAATTTTTGTGAGCTGGACTAAACCAGTGGGAAACAGCTCCTTCTATAAAGTACAGTGGACAAACTTCTCTGTAAATGTCAATGTGACAAGTTATACTATTACTAACCTGACTGCTGGTGTCCAGTATGAAATAACTGTCACTGCAGTGGCAGATGATAATTGTACTGAAGGACAGAATGCTACGGTCACCATCTACACAAGTAAGCGAGCATTTAAATGTTTTCATACTGTGAATTAGTGACTGTCTGCTGAGGATATCTGGTAAAATAAGGAGTCTTCTATCATCATAAGATAAGTTCAATTGAAAGGAAAGTAGAAGAAGAAATCCAGATGTAGAAGAAGAAGCCCTTTGAAGTGAGAAGGTTGGATCTCTCACCGATGTGTCCTCATATAACAGCTGTAGTTGTGCTCACTCTGTGTTTGAGTAACAGCTCCAATAATGGTTTGCATTTCTTTTGTACGTCTAGTTTAGAGCTTCCTCTGAACTTCCAGCTGCATGAAATGTTACAGGGTCAGCATGTTGCTGCTCGTGTGTTTTTACTGTAACTTTGAGACAGAGAAGACTTGAGCCGATTTTTAAATTCTTACCCATGTAGTGACTTCTCCCTTACAGAGCCTGAAGTAGTCAGATTACTCAGTGTTACTGCTTTCACAACATCCTCTGTATCACTGAAGTGGACTGAAGCAGAGGGAAACAGCTGCTTCTATCTTGTAGAGTGGACAGATAGACATTTAAATGAGAATCACAGTGTGAATAACACATAAATAACCATCAGTGCACTAACTGCCTGTATGCAGTACAGATTTAGAGTTTCTGCAGTGGCTGGTGATGAGCAAACTATGGGAGCTGCAGAGTTAATTTCACTGTATACAAACAGGATGTGCAGGAATTCAACTTCTGAATGAATTTCTAATCAATGTTTTCCAAATGCTGTCCGTTAGTGTTTTTCTCTCAATCTTGTTATTTTTGCATCTACCTCTCTGTAACTCACAGAACCCGAGAAAGTGAATGATCTTAATGTCAGTGAAATCAGGACATCCTCTATATTTCTGAACTGGACTGAGCCACAGGGTCAAAGGTCTTTCTATAGAGTAGAGTGGACAGATGGAACAATAAACATGAATAAGACTGTGACTGAAACTAAAGTAAATGTCACTGAGCTGACTCCTGGAGTGAACTACACTTTCACTGTCATAGCAGTGGCTGGAGATAACAATACACAAAGTGACGTAGCAACACTTTCTCAATACACAAGTAAGATGAAGAGTATGACCATTTCTGATCTGGGGTCTCGTGCTCTGTACTGTGTCACTGTTTCATTTTTTATCTTGTAGTTTATTATTTGTCAGCTTTTTAGGATAGTTTTTTTTTCTAGTGAAGCAGTTACTTCAAAAATTAATGAAATCCTTTTTACAGGAAGACTTCAAATCTAAAAACACTTTTTATCCATGAGTGACAAGTTTGTTTGTTTTTTACCAAATTAAGTTTTTGATTTATTCACATATCCTCTCAGGTCTTTCCTAATTCAGTCCTCTTGGTTCTTACCTGTTGCAGTCACTGCTTATTGTTCTTAGCTCAGTAGTTCTTTTGTTTTCTTGTTCCTCCTCATGTACTCTCCACTCATAGAGCCTGAAGTAGTCACGAGTCTCTCTGCTGTCAACGTCACAACATCGTCTGTTTTTGTGAGCTGGACTAAACCAGTGGGAAACAGCTCCTTCTATAAAGTACAGTGGACAGTTGGAGGAACAAGTGCCTCTGTAACTGTCAGTGACACATTTAAGAACATTATTAACCTGACTGCTGGTGTCCAGTATGAAATAAATGTCACTGCAGTGGCTGGTGATGGTTCTACTAAAGGACAGAGTGCTACTGTCACCAACTACACAAGTAAGCGAGCATTTAAATGTTTTTCATACCGTGAATTAGTGACTGTCTGCTGAGGGTATCTGGTAAAATAAGGAGTCTTCTATCATCATAAGATAAGTTCAATTCAAAGGAAAGTAGAAGAAGAAATCCAGATGTAGAAGAAGAAGCCCTTTGAAGTGAGAAGGTTGGATCTCTCACCGATGTGTCCTCATATAACAGCTGTAGTTGTGCTCACTCTGTGTTTGAGTAACAGCTCCAATAATGGTTTGCATTTCTTTTGTACGTCTAGTTTAGAGCTTCCTCTGAACTTCCAGCTGCATGAAATGTTACAGGGTCAGCATGTTGCTGCTCGTGTGTTTTTACTGTAACTTTGAGACAGAGAAGACTTGAGCCGATTTTTAAATTCTTACCCATGTAGTGACTTCTCCCTTACAGAGCCTGAAGTAGTCAGATTACTCAGTGTTACTGCTTTCACAACATCCTCTGTATCACTGAAGTGGACTGAAGCAGAGGGAAACAGCTGCTTCTATCTTGTAGAGTGGACAGATAGACATTTAAATGAGAATCACAGTGTGAATAACACATAAATAACCATCAGTGCACTAACTGCCTGTATGCAGTACAGATTTAGAGTTTCTGCAGTGGCTGGTGATGAGCAAACTATGGGAGCTTCAGAGTTAATTTCACTGTATACAAACAGGATGTGCAGGAATTCAACATCTGAATCAATTTCTAATCAATGTTTTTCAAATGCTGTCCCTTAGGTGTTCTTTACTAAATTTGCTGCATATTTGATGGTATAATTTTCTACTTTTAAAATATATTTATGTCAGTTTTTGTTTTTTTGCATCTACCTCTCTGTAACACACAGAACCCGAGAAAGTGAATGATCTTACTGTCAGTGAAATCAGGACGTCCTCTATATTTCTAAACTGGACTGAGCCACAGGGTCAAAGGTCTTTCTATAGAGTAGAGTGGACAGATGGAACAATAAACATGATAAGACTGTGACTGAAACTAAAGTAAATGTCACTGAGCTGACTCCTGGAGCGAACTACACTTTCACTGTCATAGCAGTGGCTGGAGATAACAATACACAAAGTGACGTAGCAACACTTTCTCAATACACAAGTAAGATGAAGAGTATGACCATTTCTGATCTGGGGTCTCGTGCTCTGTACTGTGTCACTGTTTCATTTTTTATCTTGTAGTTTATTATTTGTCAGCTTTTTAGTATAGTTTTTTTTTCTAGTGAAGCAGTTACTTCAAAAATTATAGAAATTATTGTGACTTGAAGACTTCAAATCTAAAAACACTTTTTATTCATGTGTGACATGGGTTTTTTGTTAAAAAGCTTTTTATGATTTATTCACATATCCTCTCAGGTCTTTCTTAATTCAGTCCTCTTGGTTCTTACCTGTTGCAGTCACTGCTTATTTTTCTTGGCTCAGCAGTTCCTTTGTTTTCTTGTTCCTCCTCATGTACTCTCCACTCATAGAGTCTGAAGTAGTCATGAGGCTCTCTACTGTTAACGTCACAACATCGTCTGTTTTTGTGAGCTGGACTAAACCAGTGGGAAACAGCTCCTTCTATAAAGTACAGTGGACAGGTGGAGGAACGAACTTCTCTGTAAATGTCAATGTGACAAGTTATACTATTACTAACCTGACTGCTGGTGTCCAGTATGAAATAACTGTCACTGCAGTGGCAGATGATAATTGTACTGAAGGACAGAGTGCTACGGTCACCATCTACACAAGTAAGCGAGCATTTAAATGTTTTCATACTGTGAATTAGTGACTGTCTGCTGAGAATATCTGGTAAAATAAGGAGTCTTCTATCATCATAAGATAAGTTAAATTGAAAGGAAAGTAGAAGAAGAAATCCAGATGTAGAAGAAGAAGCCCTTTGAAGTGAGAAGGTTGGCTCTCTCACCGATGTGTCCTCATATAACGGCTGTAGTTGTGCTCACTCTGTGTTTGAGTAACAGCTCCAATAATGGTTTGCATTTCTTTTGTACGTCTAGTTTAGAGCTTCCTCTGAACTTCCAGCTGCATGAAATGTTACAGGGTCAGCATGTTGCTGCTCGTGTGTTTTTACTGTAACTTTGAGACAGAGAAGACTTGAGCTGATTTTTAAATTCTTACCCATGTAGTGACTTCTCCCTTACAGAGCCTGAAGTAGTCAGATTACTCAGTGTTACTGCTTTCACAACATCCTCTGTATCACTGAAGTGGACTGAAGCAGAGGGAAACAGCTGCTTCTATCTTGTAGAGTGGACAGATAGACATTTAAATGAGAATCACAGTGTGAATAACACATAAATAACCATCAGTGCACTAACTGCCTGTATGCAGTACAGATTTAGAGTTTCTGCAGTGGCTGGTGATGAGCAAACTATGGGAGCTTCAGAGTTAATTTCACTGTATACAAACAGGATGTGCAGGAATTCAACTTCTGAATGAATTTCTAATCAATGTTTTCCAAATGCTGTCCGTTAGTGTTTTTCTCTCAATCTTGTTATTTTTGCATCTACCTCTCTGTAACTCACAGAACCTGAAAAAGTGAATGATCTTACTGTCAGTGAAATCAGGACATCCTCTATATTTCTGAACTGGACTGAGCCACAGGGTCAAAGGTCTTTCTATAGAGTAGAGTGGACAGATGGAACAATAAACATGAATAAGACTGTGACTGAAACTAAAGTAAATGTCACTGAGCTGACTCCTGGAGCGAACTACACTTTCACTGTCATAGCAGTGGCTGGAGATAACAATACACAAAGTGACGTAGCAACACTTTCTCAATACACAAGTAAGATGAAGAGTATGACCATTTCTGATCTGGGGTCTCGTGCTCTGTACTGTGTCACTGTTTCATTTTTTATCTTGTAGTTTATTATTTGTCAACTTTTTAGGATAGTTTTTTTTCTAGTGAAGCAGTTACTTCAAAAATTAATGAAATCCTTTTTACAGGAAGACTTCAAATCTAAAAACACTTTTTATCCATGAGTGACAAGTTTGTTTGTTTTTTACCAAATTAAGTTTTTGATTTATTCACATATCCTCTCAGGTCTTTCTTAATTCAGTCCTCTTGGTTCTTACCTGTTGCAGTCACTGCTTATTGTTCTTGGCTCAGCAGTTCTTTTGTTTTCTTGTTCCTCCTCATGTACTCTCCACTCATAGAGCCTGAAGTAGTCACGAGTCTCTCTGCTGTCAACGTCACAACATCGTCTGTTTTTGTGAGCTGGACTAAACCAGTGGGAAGCAGCTCCTTCTATAAAGTACAGTGGACAAACTTCTCTGTAAATGTCAGTGACACGTTTAAGAGCATTACTAACCTGACTGCTGGTGTCCAGTATGAAATAACTGTCACTGCAGTGGCAGATGATAATTGTACTGAAGGACAGAATGCTACGGTCACCATCTACACAAGTAAGCGAGCATTTAAATGTTTTCATACTGTGAATTAGTGACTGTCTGCTGAGGATATCTGGTAAAATAAGGAGTCTTCTATCATCATAAGATAAGTTCAATTGAAAGGAAAGTAGAAGAAGAAATCCAGATGTAGAAGAAGAAGCCCTTTGAAGTGAGAAGGTTGGATCTCTCACCGATGTGTCCTCATATAACAGCTGTAGTTGTGCTCACTCTGTGTTTGAGTAACAGCTCCAATAATGGTTTGCATTTCTTTTGTACGTCTAGTTTAGAGCTTCCTCTGAACTTCCAGCTGCATGAAATGTTACAGGGTCAGCATGTTGCTGCTCGTGTGTTTTTACTGTAACTTTGAGACAGAGAAGACTTGAGCTGATTTTTAAATTCTTACCCATGTAGTGACTTCTCCCTTACAGAGCCTGAAGTAGTCAGATTACTCAGTGTTACTGCTTTCACAACATCCTCTGTATCACTGAAGTGGACTGAAGCAGAGGGAAACAGCTGCTTCTATCTTGTAGAGTGGACAGATAGACATTTAAATGAGAATCACAGTGTGAATAACACATAAATAACCATCAGTGCACTAACTGCCTGTATGCAGTACAGATTTAGAGTTTCTGCAGTGGCTGGTGATGAGCAAACTATGGGAGCTTCAGAGTTAATTTCACTGTATACAAACAGGATGTGCAGGAATTCAACTTCTGAATGAATTTCTAATCAATGTTTTCCAAATGCTGTCCGTTAGTGTTTTTCTCTCAATCTTGTTATTTTTGCATCTACCTCTCTGTAACTCACAGAACCTGAAAAAGTGAATGATCTTACTGTCAGTGAAATCAGGACATCCTCTATATTTCTGAACTGGACTGAGCCACAGGGTCAAAGGTCTTTCTATAGAGTAGAGTGGACAGATGGAACAATAAACATGAATAAGACTGTGACTGAAACTAAAGTAAATGTCACTGAGCTGACTCCTGGAGCGAACTACACTTTCACTGTCATAGCAGTGGCTGGAGATAACAATACACAAAGTGACGTAGCAACACTTTCTCAATACACAAGTAAGATGAAGAGTATGACCATTTCTGATCTGGGGTCTCGTGCTCTGTACTGTGTCACTGTTTCATTTTTATCTTGTAGTTTATTATTTGTCAGCTTTTTAGTATAGTTTTTTTTTCTAGTGAAGCAGTTACTTCAAAAATTAATGAAATCCTTTTTACAGGAAGACTTCAAATCTAAAAACACTTTTTATCCATGAGTGACAAGTTTGTTTGTTTTTTACCAAATTAAGTTTTTGATTTATTCACATATCCTCTCAGGTCTTTCCTAATTCAGTCCTCTTGGTTCTTACCTGTTGCAGTCACTGCTTATTGTTCTTAGCTCAGTAGTTCTTTTGTTTTCTTGTTCCTCCTCATGTACTCTCCACTCATAGAGCCTGAAGTAGTCACGAGTCTCTCTGCTGTCAACGTCACAACATCGTCTGTTTTTGTGAGCTGGACTAAACCAGTGGGAAGCAGCTCCTTCTATATAGTACAGTGGACAAACTTCTCTGTAAATGTCAGTGACACGTTTAAGAGCATTACTAACCTGACTGCTGGTGTCCAGTATGAAATAACTGTCACTGCAGTGGCAGATGATAATTGTACTGAAGGACAGAATGCTACGGTCACCATCTACACAAGTAAGCGAGCATTTAAATGTTTTCATACTGTGAATTAGTGACTGTCTGCTGAGGATATCTGGTAAAATAAGGAGTCTTCTATCATCATAAGATAAGTTCAATTGAAAGGAAAGTAGAAGAAGAAATCCAGATGTAGAAGAAGAAGCCCTTTGAAGTGAGAAGGTTGGATCTCTCACCGATGTGTCCTCATATAACAGCTGTAGTTGTGCTCACTCTGTGTTTGAGTAACAGCTCCAATAATGGTTTGCATTTCTTTTGTACGTCTAGTTTAGAGCTTCCTCTGAACTTCCAGCTGCATGAAATGTTACAGGGTCAGCATGTTGCTGCTCGTGTGTTTTACTGTAACTTTGAGACAGAGAAGACTTGAGCCGATTTTTAAATTCTTACCCATGTAGTGACTTCTCCCTTACAGAGCCTGAAGTAGTCAGATTACTCAGTGTTACTGCTTTCACAACATCCTCTGTATCACTGAAGTGGACTGAAGCAGAGGGAAACAGCTGCTTCTATCTTGTAGAGTGGACAGATAGACATTTAAATGAGAATCACAGTGTGAATAACACATAAATAACCATCAGTGCACTAACTGCCTGTATGCAGTACAGATTTAGAGTTTCTGCAGTGGCTGGTGATGAGCAAACTATGGGAGCTTCAGAGTTAATTTCACTGTATACAAACAGGATGTGCAGGAATTCAACTTCTGAATGAATTTCTAATCAATGTTTTCCAAATGCTGTCCGTTAGTGTTTTTCTCTCAATCTTGTTATTTTTGCATCTACCTCTCTGTAACTCACAGAACCTGAAAAAGTGAATGATCTTACTGTCAGTGAAATCAGGACATCCTCTATATTTCTGAACTGGACTGAGCCACAGGGTCAAAGGTCTTTCTATAGAGTAGAGTGGACAGATGGAACAATAAACATGAATAAGACTGTGACTGAAACTAAAGTAAATGTCACTGAGCTGACTCCTGGAGCGAACTACACTTTCACTGTCATAGCAGTGGCTGGAGATAACAATACACAAAGTGACGTAGCAACACTTTCTCAATACACAAGTAAGATGAAGAGTATGACCATTTCTGATCTGGGGTCTCGTGCTCTGTACTGTGTCACTGTTTCATTTTTTATCTTGTAGTTTATTATTTGTCAGCTTTTTAGTATAGTTTTTTTTTCTAGTGAAGCAGTTACTTCAAAAATTAATGAAATCCTTTTTACAGGAAGACTTCAAATCTAAAAACACTTTTTATCCATGAGTGACAAGTTTGTTTGTTTTTTACCAAATTAAGTTTTTGATTTATTCACATATCCTCTCAGGTTCTCCTTAATTCAGTCCTCTTGGTTCTTACCTGTTGCAGTCACTGCTTATTGTTCTTAGCTCAGCAGTTCTTTTGTTTTCTTGTTCCTCCTCATGTACTCTCCACTCATAGAGCCTGAAGTAGTCACGAGTCTCTCTGCTGTCAACGTCACAACATCGTCTGTTTTTGTGAGCTGGACTAAACCAGTGGGAAGCAGCTCCTTCTATATAGTACAGTGGACAAACTTCTCTGTAAATGTCAGTGACACGTTTAAGAGCATTACTAACCTGACTGCTGGTGTCCAGTATGAAATAACTGTCACTGCAGTGGCTGGTGATGGTTCTACTGAAGGACAGAGTGCTACTGTCACCAACTACACAAGTAAGCGAGAATTTACATGTTTTCATACTGTGAATTAGTGACTGTCTGCTGAGGATATCTGGTAAAATAAGGAGTCTTCTATCATCATAAGATAAGTTCAATTGAAAGGAAAGTAGAAGAAGAAATCCAGATGTAGAAGAAGAAGCCCTTTGAAGTGAGAAGGTTGGATCTCTCACCGATGTGTCCTCATATAACAGCTGTAGTTGTGCTCACTCTGTGTTTGAGTAACAGCTCCAATAATGGTTTGCATTTCTTTTGTCTAGTTTAGAGCTTCCTCTGAACTTCCAGCTGCATGAAATGTTACAGGGTCAGCATGTTGCTGCTCGTGTGTTTTTACTGTAACTTTGAGACAGAGAAGACTTGAGCCGATTTTTAAATTCTTACCCATGTAGTGACTTCTCCCTTACAGAGCCTGAAGTAGTCAGATTACTCAGTGTTACTGCTTTCACAACATCCTCTGTATCACTGAAGTGGACTGAAGCAGAGGGAAACAGCTGCTTCTATCTTGTAGAGTGGACAGATAGACATTTAAATGAGAATCACAGTGTGAATAACACATAAATAACCATCAGTGCACTAACTGCCTGTATGCAGTACAGATTTAGAGTTTCTGCAGTGGCTGGTGATGAGCAAACTACGGGAGCTTCAGAGTTAATTTCACTGTATACACATAAGATATGCAGGAATTCAACATCTGAATGAATTTGTAATCAATGTTTTCCAAACGCTGTCCCTTAGGTGTTCTTTACTAAATTTGCAGCATATTTGATGGTGTAATTTTCTAAAGTTGAAATTATAGTAATCTTAGTGTTGTTATTTTTGCATCTACCTCTCTGTAACACACAGAACCTGAAAAAGTGAATGATCTTACTGTCAGTGAAATCAGGACGTCCTCTATATTTCTGAACTGGACTGAGCCACAGGGTCAAAGGTCTTTCTATAGAGTAGAGTGGACAGATGGAACAATAAACATGAATAAGACTGTGACTGAAACTAAAGTAAATGTCACTGAGCTGACTCCTGGAGCGAACTACACTTTCACTGTCATAGCAGTGGCTGGAGATAACAATACTCAAAGTGACGTAGCAACACTTTCTCAATACACAAGTAAGATGAAGAGTATGACCATTTCTGATCTGGGGTCTCGTGCTCTGTACTGTGTCACTGTTTCATTTTTTATCTTGTAGTTTATTATTTGTCAGCTTTTTAGTATAGTTTTTTTTTCTAGTGAAGCAGTTACTTCAAAAATTAATGAAATCCTTTTTACAGGAAGACTTCAAATCTAAAAGCACTTTTTATCCATGAGTGACAAGTTTGTTTGTTTTTTACCAAATTAAGTTTTTGATTTATTCACATATCCACTCAGGTTCTCCTTAATTCAGTCCTCTTGGTTCTTACCTGTTGCAGTCACTGCTTATTGTTCTTGGCTCAGTAGTTCTTTTGTTTTCTTGTTCCTCCTCATGTACTCTCCACTCATAGAGCCTGAAGTAGTCACGAGTCTCTCTGCTGTCAACGTCACAACATCGTCTGTTTTTGTGAGCTGGACTAAACCAGTGGGAAGCAGCTCCTTCTATAAAGTACAGTGGACAGTTGGAGGAACAAGTGCCTCTGTAACTGTCAGTGACACATTTAAGAACATTATTAACCTGACTGCTGGTGTCCAGTATGAAATAACTGTCACTGCAGTGGCTGGTGATGGTTCTACTGAAGGACAGAGTGCTACTGTCACCAACTACACAAGTAAGCGAGCATTTAAATGTTTTTCATACCGTGAATTAGTGACTGTCTGCTGAGGATATCTGGTAAAATAAGGAGTCTTCTATCATCATAAGATAAGTTCAATTGAAAGGAAAGTAGAAGAAGAAATCCAGATGTAGAAGAAGAAGCCCTTTGAAGTGAGAAGGTTGGCTCTCTCACCGATGTGTCCTCATATAACAGCTGTAGTTGTGCTCACTCTGTGTTTGAGTAACAGCTCCAATAATGGTTTACATTTCTTTTGTACGTCTAGTTTAGAGCTTCCTCTGAACTTCCAGCTGCATGAAATGTTACAGGGTCAGCATGTTGCTGCTCGTGTGTTTTTACTGTAACTTTGAGACAGAGAAGACTTGAGCCGATTTTTAAATTCTTACCCATGTAGTGACTTCTCCCTTACAGAGCCTGAAGTAGTCAGATTACTCAGTGTTACTGCTTTCACAACGTCCTCTATCACTGAAGTGGACTGAAGCAGAGGGAAACAGCTGCTTCTATCTTGTAGAGTGGACAGATAGACATTTAAATGAGAATCACAGTGTGAATAACACATAAATAACCATCAGTGCACTAACTGCCTGTATGCAGTACAGATTTAGAGTTTCTGCAGTGGCTGGTGATGAGCAAACTATGGGAGCTGCAGAGTTAATTTCACTGTATACACATAAGATATGCAGGAATTCAACATCTGAATGAATTTGTAATCAATGTTTTCCAAATGCTGTCCCTTAGGTGTTCTTTACTAAATTTGCAGCATATTTGATGGCGTAATTTTCTAAGTTTAAAATATATTTATGTCAGTTTTTGTTTTTTTGCATCTACCTCTCTGTAACACACAGAACCCGAGAAAGTGAATGATCTTACTGTCAGTGAAATCAGGACGTCCTCTATATTTCTAAACTGGACTGAGCCACAGGGTCAAAGGTCTTTCTATAGAGTAGAGTGGACAGATGGAACAATAAACATGAATAAGACTGTGACTGAAACTAAAGTAAATGTCACTGAGCTGACTCCTGGAGTGAACTACACTTTCACTGTCATAGCAGTGGCTGGAGATAACAATACACAAAGTGACGTAGCAACACTTTCTCAATACACAAGTAAGATGAAGAGTATGACCATTTCTGATCTGGGGTCTCGTGCTCTGTACTGTGTCACTGTTTCATTTTTTATCTTGTAGTTTATTATTTGTCAACTTTTTAGGATAGTTTTTTTCTAGTGAAGCAGTTACTTCAAAAATTAATGAAATCCTTTTTACAGGAAGACTTCAAATCTAAAAACACTTTTTATCCATGAGTGACAAGTTTGTTTGTTTTTTACCAAATTAAGTTTTTGATTTATTCACATATCCTCTCAGGTCTTTCCTAATTCAGTCCTCTTGGTTCTTACCTGTTGCAGTCACTGCTTATTGTTCTTGGCTCAGTAGTTCTTTTGTTTTCTTGTTCCTCCTCATGTACTCTCCACTCAGAGCCTGAAGTAGTCACGAGTCTCTCTGCTGTTAACGTCACAACATCGTCAATTTTTGTGAGCTGGACTAAACCAGTGGGAAACAGCTCCTTCTATAAAGTACAGTGGACAGTTGGAGGAACAAGTGCCTCAATAAATGTCAATGAGACATTTTATAATATTATTAACCTGACTGCTGGTGTCCAGTATGAAATAACTGTCACTGCAGTGGCAGATGATAATTGTACTGAAGGACAGAATGCTACGGTCACCATCTACACAAGTAAGCGAGCATTTAAATGTTTTCATACTGTGAATTAGTGACTGTCTGCTGAGGATATCTGGTAAAATAAGGAGTCTTCTATCATCATAAGATAAGTTCAATTGAAAGGAAAGTAGAAGAAGAAATCCAGATGTAGAAGAAGAAGCCCTTTGAAGTGAGAAGGTTGGCTCTCTCACCGATGTGTCCTCATATAACAGCTGTAGTTGTGCTCACTCTGTGTTTGAGTAACAGCTCCAATAATGGTTTACATTTCTTTTGTACGTCTAGTTTAGAGCTTCCTCTGAACTTCCAGCTGCATGAAATGTTACAGGGTCAGCATGTTGCTGCTCGTGTGTTTTTACTGTAACTTTGAGACAGAGAAGACTTGAGCCGATTTTTAAATTCTTACCCATGTAGTGACTTCTCCCTTACAGAGCCTGAAGTAGTCAGATTACTCAGTGTTACTGCTTTCACAACATCCTCTGTATCACTGAAGTGGACTGAAGCAGAGGGAAACAGCTGCTTCTATCTTGTAGAGTGGACAGATAGACATTTAAATGAGAATCACAGTGTGAATAACACATAAATAACCATCAGTGCACTAACTGCCTGTATGCAGTACAGATTTAGAGTTTCTGCAGTGGCTGGTGATGAGCAAACTATGGGAGCTGCAGAGTTAATTTCACTGTATACACATAAGATATGCAGGAATTCAACATCTGAATGAATTTGTAATCAATGTTTTCCAAACGCTGTCCCTTAGGTGTTCTTTACTAAATTTGCAGCATATTTGATGGCGTAATTTTCTAAAGTTGAAATTATAGTAATCTTAGTGTTGTTATTTTTGCATCTACCTCTCTGTAACACACAGAACCTGAAAAAGTGAATGATCTTACTGTCAGTGAAATCAGGATGTCCTCTATATTTCTGAACTGGACTGAGCCACAGGGTCAAAGGTCTTTCTATAGAGTAGAGTGGACAGATGGAACAATAAACATGAATAAGACTGTGACTGAAACTAAAGTAAATGTCACTGAGCTGACTCCTGGAGCGAACTACACTTTCACTGTCATAGCAGTGGCTGGAGATAACAATACACAAAGTGACGTAGCAACACTTTCTCAATACACAAGTAAGATGAAGAGTATGACCATTTCTGATCTGGGGTCTCGTGCTCTGTACTGTGTCACTGTTTCATTTTTTATCTTGTAGTTTATTATTTGTCAGCTTTTTAGGATAGTTTTTTTTTCTAGTGAAGCAGTTACTTCAAAAATTAATGAAATCCTTTTTACAGGAAGACTTCAAATCTAAAAGCACTTTTTATCCATGAGTGACAAGTTTGTTTGTTTTTTTACCAAATTAAGTTTTTGATTTATTCACATATCCACTCAGGTTCTCCTTAATTCAGTCCTCTTGGTTCTTACCTGTTGCAGTCACTGCTTATTGTTCTTGTTCTAACAGTTCTTTTGTTTTCTTGTTCCTCCTCATGTACTCTCCACTCATAGAGCCTGAAGTAGTCACGAGTCTCTCTGCTGTCAACGTCACAACATCGTCTGTTTTTGTGAGCTGGACTAAACCAGTGGGAAGCAGCTCCTTCTATATAGTACAGTGGACAGTTGGAGGAACAAGTGCCTCTGTAACTGTCAGTGACACGTTTAAGAGCATTACTAACCTGACTGCTGGTGTCCAGTATGAAATAACTGTCACTGCAGTGGCTGGTGATGGTTCTACTAAAGGACAGAGTGCTACTGTCACCAACTACACAAGTAAGCGAGAATTTACATGTTTTCATACTGTGAATTAGTGACTGTCTGCTGAGGATATCTGGTAAAATAAGGAGTCTTCTATCATCATAAGATAAGTTCAATTGAAAGGAAAGTAGAAGAAGAAATCCAGATGTAGAAGAAGAAGCCCTTTGAAGTGAGAAGGTTGGCTCTCTCACCGATGTGTCCTCATATAACAGCTGTAGTTGTGCTCACTCTGTGTTTGAGTAACAGCTCCAATAATGGTTTGCATTTCTTTTGTACGTCTAGTTTAGAGCTTCCTCTGAACTTCCAGCTGCATGAAATGTTACAGGGTCAGCATGTTGCTGCTCGTGTGTTTTTACTGTAACTTTGAGACAGAGAAGACTTGAGCTGATTTTTAAATTCTTACCCATGTAGTGACTTCTCCCTTACAGAGCCTGAAGTAGTCAGATTACTCAGTGTTACTGCTTTCACAACGTCCTCTATCACTGAAGTGGACTGAAGCAGAGGGAAACAGCTGCTTCTATCTTGTAGAGTGGACAGATAGACATTTAAATGAGAATCACAGTGTGAATAACACATAAATAACCATCAGTGCACTAACTGCCTGTATGCAGTACAGATTTAGAGTTACTGCAGTGGGTGGTGATGAGCAAACTACGGGAGCTGCAGAGTTAATTTTACTGTATACACATAAGATATGCAGGAATTCAACATCTGAATGAATTTGTAATCAATGTTTTCCAAATGCTGTCCCTTAGGTGTTCTTTACTAAATTTGCAGCATATTTGATGGTGTAATTTTCTAAAGTTGAAATTATAGTAATCTTAGTGTTGTTATTTTTGCATCTACCTCTCTGTAACACACAGAACCTGAAAAAGTGAATGATCTTACTGTCAGTGAAATCAGGACATCCTCTATATTTCTGAACTGGACTGAGCCACAGGGTCAAAGGTCTTTCTATAGAGTAGAGTGGACAGATGGAACAATAAACATGAATAAGACTGTGACTGAAACTAAAGTAAATGTCACTGAGCTGACTCCTGGAGTGAACTACACTTTCACTGTCATAGCAGTGGCTGGAGATAACAATACACAAAGTGACGTAGCAACACTTTCTCAATACACAAGTAAGATGAAGAGTATGACCATTTCTGATCTGGGGTCTCGTGCTCTGTACTGTGTCACTGTTTCATTTTTTATCTTGTAGTTTATTATTTGTCAGCTTTTTAGTATAGTTTTTTTTTCTAGTGAAGCAGTTACTTCAAAAATTAATGAAATCCTTTTTACAGGAAGACTTCAAATCTAAAAGCACTTTTTATCCATGAGTGACAAGTTTGTTTGTTTTTTACCAAATTAAGTTTTTGATTTATTCACATATCCACTCAGGTTCTCCTTAATTCAGTTCTCTTGGTTCTTACCTGTTGCAGTCACTGCTTATTGCTCTTGTTCTAACTGTTGTTTTGTTTTCTTGTTCCTCCTCATGTACTCTCCACTCAGAGCCTGAAGTAGTCACGAGTCTCTCTGCTGTTAACGTCACAACATCGTCAATTTTTGTGAGCTGGACTAAACCAGTGGGAAACAGCTCCTTCTTTAAAGTACAGTGGACAGTTGGAGGAACAAGTGCCTCAATAAATGTCAATGAGACATTTTATAATATTATTAACCTGACTGCTGGTGTCCAGTATGAAATAACTGTCACTGCAGTGGCTGGTGATGGTTCTACTAAAGGACAGAGTGCTACTGTCACCAACTACACAAGTAAGCGAGAATTTACATGTTTTCATACTGTGAATTAGTGACTGTCTGCTGAGGATATCTGGTAAAATAAGGAGTCTTCTATCATCATAAGATAAGTTCAATTGAAAGGAAAGTAGAAGAAGAAATCCAGATGTAGAAGAAGAAGCCCTTTGAAGTGAGAAGGTTGGATCTCTCACCGATGTGTCCTCATATAACAGCTGTAGTTGTGCTCACTCTGTGTTTGAGTAACAGCTCCAATACTCGTTATAGTTTTATCTTTAATAGGGTGATATTTTAAAACTTCTGTATTGACATTTTTTGCAATATAGGCTAGAAAAAAATAAAAAAGACTGAATAATACAGAGGATGAGATTGTACAAGTGCTGATCTTTAGTCAGATTGTCTTTACCTAATTTTTATTACTTAAATGAAGGTGAAGCTTAAACTGCAAAGTCAAGTAGCCGCTTGTGTCGTTACTTTTAAACTCCCCTAAACAATGAAACAACTAAAATCAATCAACTTCTTCTTTAAATGTTAATATAAACCTACTCAAATTAAAGCTCCACACTTTATGCCTTATCCATAATTTCGAGTAGTGAAGGAAATTGAAATATATTTACAGTATAGCTGTCCAAACGTTTGGATATTTGTTGTGTTATTAAAATGCCATGTACATCTTTATTCTACAGGGCCTGAAAAGCCTGGGAACATTAGTGTTACAGAAGGAACCAACACCTTAAGCATCAGCTGGATTTTGCCTCGAGGAAACATTAGTTATTATCAGGTCAAAATATCCAATGAAAACTTAGTGTTTACAAATTCCAGTCAAACAATGGCCACAACAACCAGTTTTACCTATTTAAAACCCGGGAGACTCTATAATATCACAGTGACTGCTTTTGCTGGAAACTTCTGGAATACATCTGACCAGGTGTCATTTGCCACTGGTAAGCCCAACAACCTAATATCTTTTCTTCATCACCATGTTTTTTAAGACCCTGAGAACAACTGTGGATACCATTAGAATGCTTCTAACATAATTTGCTATTTTTCAAATGCGTTATGCAGAAACACCTAAACAGTTAAAAACAACAACTACAAAAAACCATCACATTGAAATTATTTGATCCCTTTTGTAACTGTGTCTGTAGATAAAGGTTGGCACCCTATAGGAGTATACTTCATTTATTACATTTTTAGTGGACTAAACTGTTTTGTACTTCTTTAAATGAGCAAAATGACTTAAGATGTCAACTTGGTGTTATTTGTACCCTTTAGTTCCCAAACCTCCTGGGTCCATCATCTTTAGTAGCCGGAGCAACTCCTCACTCCAGCTGCAGTGGGCAACACCTGATGAAATGATTGGAGCTCCAGACATCATATACAGTATCACCTATCAGGCTGTGGGTGGTCTCAGTCAAAACACAACTTCCACTCAAAATAACACTTTGCTTTCACTCCTTGACTCTGGAACCAATTACACTGTAACAGTAAAAACTACTGGACCTGGAAATTTAAGCAGCACAGTTGTTCAGAATTCTTCTTTTACCTGTAAGTACAACAAAAAAACAAACAAACCCCAAAGCCATCAGACTGTCTGTTTTTAATGCGTGGTTTTACTGGCTAGCACCTAGGAACACTTCATATTAATCAACATATAATATGAGTGTTAGTGTTGGACAGTTTATTGTTTAGATATAGAGAGGAAATATGGTGTGAAGAGTTTGGTATGACATGTAATATGGATCTTTGATGTAATAAGTGCAAATCATTTAACTTCGGTTGTTTAACATTGTTTTCCAATTTGTCTTTTTTTAGTGCCAAACCCAGTGAGGAATCTAATAGTCAGCCTTGAATCTACTACTTCACTAAATGTGAACTGGTCAAATCCACTGGGGGTCAAATCGTATTACATATACTTAGTTGACACTTACAATGACACAGGAGGACTTATTTACTCAACAAACATCACCAATAACAGCATTTCTGTACCGAATCTAAACCCAGGAACTAACTACAGTGTCACAGTCAGAACAAAAGCTGCAGAAGGAAGTGAATCTACGGTGGAGAAGGGATTCAGTTACACAAGTAAGAACTAAGATATAAACTCAGTCAAACTGTTGAAGTATCAGTGCTGTTTGGTCTGTGTTTTGTCACTTGAATACTTCAAACTGAAAATTTCTACAGTGCCCAAACCTGTGACCAACATCACAGTAGAGAGTGTGACCACGACCTCCATCAAGCTAACGTGGTCCAGACAAAATGATTACAAGCCTTCCTACTCCTACCTGGTCATAGCGAGACAGAGTGGCAGCGAGATAAAGAATGATTCGACAAAGAATGAGACGTACACCTTCTATAATCTGACCTCGGGAGAGCTGTACACATTTTCTGTGTTCACAGTTATAGCAGGGGTCAAATCCACAGAGGAAAATACACAGAGTTACACAAGTATGTCTTAAAAATCTCTGAAATGTGCTTCAAAGTCAAGTCTTCCTAATCCATCTTGCAATTTATAGTGATCCCCAACAGACTGTCAGAGCTTGGTTATATGTGATATTGTATTATTTATATGTATAGCATTTTTTTTTCTTAAAGGGGAACTGATAAGAGAAAAGAGTTCCAGGCACCGCAGGCAGATATAAAAGCTTCAGTAAAGCTGAAGCCTACAATTTTCATAAAAAGTTTTCCTCCCTGTTTGACAATTAGTAGCTGTTAGCTCGATACCTTTGCTCTTTAGTTTCTATCCTTTCTGTGAAAGGTCTCAACCCCGAGCCAAAATATAACATTATCAGGGTTTTAGTGATGGTATATAAACTTCTAAAAGTAAATCTTTAAACATGTTTTTGGTCAGAAAACAAGTAATTTGGTCGACATTTTCTTTGTGTTACTACTCAGCCCCTATTAGTCCAATATTAATGTTCATTTAATTTGAATCTTCTTTTTTATCCAGTGCCTGAAGCAGTCTCAAACATTACAGCCGTAGGAACCACAACTAGCCTTTCAGTGAGCTGGACACTGGTGACAGGGAAGGTCTCCAGTTACAGTGTTGTGCTAAATAGTGCTGGACAGTTAGTGAACAGCACGGATGTAAACAATCAAACTACAAACATAGTCTTTGTGGACTTGACACCAGGAGTAATTTACTGTGTCCAGTTGATCACCAAAAGTGGACCTTTTCAGAGTAACAGTTCACCTGTCTGCGACGCAACTTGTGAGTTTCATTGACAAGCTGACTTCTACCTCAAATTGTATATTCAGCATTTTTTATCAACACCTATTTTAAAAATACATGTATTGTTTGAATTAATCAATCAAATAATCAAATCCTTCTCCTTCTTCAGTTCCCAACCCTCCTGGCTCCATCACAGTGCAATCTCAGACTGTTAATTCCATCAACTTCACCTGGGCCCTCCCACAGAACATGAACCACAATCAATACAACTTTAGTGTCACCACCACTAACAACACCTTTGTGACAAAAGACAACTGGTTCCTGCTGGGAAACCTCCCATCTGGAAGCCCCTACAATATCTCTGTTGTTACTGTGGGTGTGACGGGATATAAAAGTACATCAGTGACAACAGTAAACTATACCAGTGAGTAGACATACAGCTGATGAGATTGTGATTGTTATGGTGGATTTTCCTGATTTTTTTGTTATTTTATTTTTATTGAGTTTATCCTTTTTCTTTCACTCTGACAGAGTTTATTTTGACTGGTACACTTTGTATTTGTTTTTGTTTGTTTGTTTTTATTTGGTTTGTTTACTTTTTTGGGATGTAGACAACAAAATGTCATTCAGACAGATTTTAAAATGTTTGGAATCAATTGTCTGTGTACGACATGCATAGATGTAATGCAAGTGTCCTTTTTCTAAAATAGTAATATTGTTAATACTATTTATTGTATTTCTTTTTCCTCTGAGTGTGAGGAACATGTAGCAGCAATCACAGGTTTTTCATCTGTCTCATTTTCTCAGGACCATTTCCTGTATCCAATCTGACTCAGACAGAAATAACTACAAATGCAGTGACCTTGGTGTGGACACAGCAGGAGAGCAAATTAAGCTACTCTTACTGGGTGCAGGTCACCAACGAGTCCAATGTTACTGTAAACAAATTAAATGTGAACATAACAAATGCAACAATCAGAAATCTTCGTTCTGGGAGCAACTTCAACTTCACTGTCACTACACTGACAGCAGATGGCACTCAGGCAGATCCTGTGACAGTGTCTTACTTCACACGTATGTACAGTATATGTTGTCAGAATCTCTGCTTCTCCTGGAAATCCACGATACTAAACTCAAACTAAATCAGCAAAAACAACCAAAGTCAGCAACCATCAAAAGCTGAGCTTGGGTAGTTTATCATTATTCCAGTGAAAGAGAGCTGTTATAAGAAAAGTGCTGTTCATGTGCCTATAATACTGCTGTTGTTATTATAATAATAATTCCTCCTGTGTTTGTAGGGCCATACGGTATTACTGAGTTGGAGGCTGAAACCATAAACACAACTGCTATAAATCTGAACTGGACGAAGCCAGCTGAGTACAGGGCTGACTATAAATATCGAGTTGCTACATCAGGCTGTGCCTACAAAAACAACACCCTGGGACAAGAAACCATACAGATCTCAGGCCTCGACCCTGGGACCAACTGTACCTTCTGTGTTTCTGTCATGGCAGCAAATGGCATTGAAGGACAAACAGTCTGCACTTCTCAGTACACGAGTACGACTCAGCTGCCCTTTCTAGTTTTCTTTGTCAGACTATCATTGTTGACATGTTTTAATCCTTTGTTCTCTCATCACATCAACAGAGCCCGAGACAGTACAGCCCACTATCTCAGGTCATTCGAATAGTTCCATCACAGTGACATGGATGAAACCTAAAGGAAACGTGGAGCGTTACAGTCTTTACCTAACACCTAATACAACTATTCAATCCCTGAACTCTTTGAATACATCCTATCAGTTTGAAAACCTGTCAGCTGGACGGGCGTACAGTGTCATGTTAACCACAATAAGTGGACCCTTCAATGCGTCATCTGAACTTGTTACTAACGCCACTCGTGAGTAATAAGTGTCTTCAATTTTGAGTGTAGTCACATTTATGTTAATATGTATGTATGTTTTTATTTACTTCAGCAGGTTTTGAGAATTTAGCTGTTACTGATAAAGTTTAATTTGACACTGTGGGCGATCGTGGCTCAAGAGTTGGGAGTTCGCCTTGTAATCGGAAGGTTGCCGGTTCGAGCCCCGACTTGGACAGTCTCGGTCGTTGTGTCCTTGGGCAAGACACTTCACCCGTTGCCTACTGGTGGTGGTCAGAGGGCCCGGTGGCGCCAGTGTCCAGCAGCCTCGCCTCTGTCAGTGCGCCCCAGGGTGGCTGTGGCTACAATGTAGCTGCCATCACCAGTGTGTGAATGGGTGGATGACTGGATATGTAAAGCGCTTTGGGGGCTATATAAATACAGGCCATTTACCATTTACTACACTAAACAACTGTAAAACAAAATTAATTAAAACAGTGAGTACTTACATAAGATAACATGTTGCATCCCCCTTCCTCCAGTCCCTAACCCTCCTGGGACGATTGAGATCCTGAATAAAACAACGAGCTCCATTGAAACTCAATGGACAGAGGCGCCTCTGATGACCGGTGCTAATTTCTACTACAGGCTGACTTACACGTCATCCCAGCAATCCAACAATACAAATACCACAAACACCAGAATGAACATCTCTTCCCTGTCTTCTGGGACTTCCTACAACATTTCTGTGAAAACTGTGGGAGAATTGGAATTCCAGAGTGAGATGGTTTATGTCTACATGGTCACAACAAGTAAGGCTTTCATTTCTGTAAAGAAGTATTGGAGAAGTTTGGGCAGTCTCCTCTTTCATTATTACTGTATGAATTAACTTTAATATCTCTCTAATGTCTGACAGGACCACTGGCAGTGCAGGAGCTCACGGCCACTCCAGGAGAGACACACATCACAGTCAACTGGACCAATCCACCTGACTACAAGAACAGCTATAAATACTTTTTGTCCTGGAATCAAACTAATTCCCAAATGCAGAACTGCACAGTTACACAAACTATGTATAATATCACTAACCTGGAACCTGGTCAGTGCTACAGTATTTATGTCACCACAGAGACCTCTGATGAAACACGGGGTGCACCAGTAATGATCACCAAATGCACAAGTACGGACACTAAGTAATAATTCTGCAAAATTTTGTCACCTATCTTTTACATGTGAAAAATGTAATTTTGATGATTCCACTGTCACCAAAAGATAACTGAACAATCTGTTTTTGACAAATAAAACTTTGTCAAAAACAGATTTTGTATTTTCTTTAGATATTTGATAGAAATATTATACTTTAATAGAACTGACAGATTTGTTCATTAGAGGTGTTCTGTTTTTTCCTTATTTCTGTTTCATGCTACAGATGCAAGCCCAGTGACAATCTTAGGCTGTCAAGGTCCAAACGACAATACTGCACAAATCATCTTGTCATGTACCACACCCCATGGCCAACACACTGGCTTCCAGATGATTGTAAATGGAAACAACATCAGTGCAACTGCATCTTGCAATTATACCATTTCTGGCCTTAACCACAATACTATATATAATGTGACTGTGATAACTCTAAGCCATGGAAATCCCAGCATCCCTGTGTATCGCGAGTGCTCAACAGGCATACGTAAGGCTTTGTGTAATAATATTAGTGTTCTAATGTACTTAAAAACTAGAGTTAGAGATACATAGAGAAGCCTTTTATAGAAAATACCAGTTCCTAATAAAATCCTTTTTCCTTAATGGTGCTCAAAAACATCTATGCATTCATTTGTCTGTGACTGCTTTTATTGGTTGAGCTGTAGTTGATAGTACACTTTTATTTATTTTTTTTAATCAAAGAGCTGCCCATGCCAGTAAATTCTGCTAGCTTGGCGCAATCGAATGGTGTCACACACAATAGTTTCATACTACAGATTGATCCAAGGATGTTTAACGACTCTAATTTTACGAATGCCTAATGAAATCTTTCTTCATTTCTCTGTTACATTTTTTCCAAATATTGTAGCTATCACTACTATTGCTGTTGGTGTATCAGTAGCAGTTTTTCTCATTCTCTTCAGTGTCCTCATCGCCTTTATTATCTACTGGAAAAGGTTTGCCACTATCACCAGTGATAAAAACATGTTCATTAAATATCCGTGTATATGAATAAATTCTATATTTACAGTTTATATACTTTATCTACTCCTGTAGGCTAGCCAAAAAAGAATCACCAGACATCCAGATTGAATCTTTAAGGTAAAATTTGTATTTTTATCATTTTGTTGTACTGTATGTATGATATACTCCTCTAATTGCTACTTATTCTTCTTTTTTGCATTTTTTATAGAGCCAAAGTGTAAGTACAACATTTTTTAACTCTCAAAGCTTCAGCATATCTTCCAAATATTAATTCTTTCCTGAAAGCACCTTATCACTCTTGCCTAAACTTTGGTTTGAGCAGAAGTGTGGCCGTGAGTGTGGAGGACTTTGAGGCTTATTACAAGAAGCAGAGAGCAGACTCCAACTGTGGCTTTGCAGAAGAATTTGAGGTAAATCCCCAAAACTGAATATATTAACTGACTCTTGATTTGTAAATATACTTATTCATAGTAGAACATTTTTATTTTTATTTCTTATTTTAACAATTTGTGTTCTAGACACACTCACCAGTGTCAATGTCAGTATAACAGCAATAAATCATTCCTGGTACAGCTTTACAGTATTACTTACAGTGCTCCAAAAGCTTTTTGCTGCCTGAAAAGAGACATCTTGGAGAGGTGCAACTGAAACAAAATCAAATGTAATTACTGTTACCAGAATGAGCCAAAATAATACTGAAATGTAATGCAAAGGGCAAAAAAAAGAAAAACTACCCGGAAAAAGTTTCATTTGCTTCTCTGGTACTCCACATGTAGCCACCAACTTTTTTTCTCTGTATTTTAAAGGACCTGAAGGTTGTTGGCACAGCTCAGTCAAAGTTACATGCACTGAATGTGGAGAACAAGCCTAAGAATCGCTACAACAATGTGCTTCCATGTGAGTCACTTTAACAAATCCATCTCTGCTGCTTTGACCATAACACCCTCACTCTTTAAACAATATCATTGCCTGCCTTACAGCATCTGCTACCATTTTAGTTTGTGCCTTGAACCAAACAATAGCATGCATCTATTAATGCATAACAGTGTAGGAAAATAATTTCTAATACTTTTTTTTTTTAACAATAATAATTTTTAATTCCTTTCATGCTCATTACATTTCCCTTTAATTTCATCTCTTACATTTCATTTACCCTCTTGTTCACCTCCTAGATGACTCTTCTAGGGTGAAACTTTCCATTCTCCATGGAAGTCCGTCTGATGATTACATCAATGCTAACTACATGCCGGTGCGTACTGACACTTTTTGAGGCAGCTCTCTGCCACAGTCATTGCAGCATCAGCAAGCATCCTACTGAGCAATATAACTTTGCTTCTTGACATTGCCATTTGTTAAACGTTTCTGCCTTCATGTAAACTCTGCTTTGAAAAACGTCTCAGAAAAATCCAACTTGCTGTTTCATGTGGTTGAGCTCACATTTTATTTGGCAGGGTTACAACTCGAGGAAGGAGTTTATTGCAGCTCAAGGTCCTTTACCCACCACGGTCAACGATTTCTGGAGGATGATCTGGGAGAAGAATGTGCAGACTCTGGTCATGCTGACACGCTGTAATGAACAGGGACGAGTGAGTATTAACAAAAACACCACAACTAGCAGGACAAGCATGTTTACAGTAGGGATGGACTGATCTGATATTACGTGTCTGAATCGGTCCAATACTGACCTAAATTACTGTATCGAATATTGGAGAGAAATAAAAAATGTAATCCGATCCCTTAAATCTCACAAAACTTGCGACGTGGCATAACTCAGCTCATAACCGTAGCACGTTGGAGCACGTGATAGAGCGGCTGTGGCGTGCGAGACCTGTTGGTGATCTGGTTGAGCATTTGGAGCCTCGCATGGAACCCGGCATTTCATCTCCGTGGAAGTTATCCCAGAGAGAAGTAGAGCAAGTGTTTAAGTTCATCTCTGAATGTTAGTAAATGTTAAAGCATTCCCATGTTAAGCTTATCAACCGATATACATATATGGAGCGACTGCCTCTTTCTCCCCCTTCCTCTCCTGCTGCTACTTCAATCATCTGATCTTGGTGGATGTAAGCTGTAATTTAATGGCAGGTTTACATAACCCCACTCTATACACCTGTATGATATCAGTGTGACCACAGTAATCCCACCCACTTGCTGCCCAAACTTTTTGTTTGCAATGGACAGCTAATCAGAAGAAAGTTGTCATAAAGGGAACGTGACCACGAAGGGACACCGTTTAAGACATGGGTAGTATCAACACCAGGTGTCAGATAAACGAGGGTTATTTTGATCATTCAGAATGAGTCTAATAGAGGCCAAGAATGAAACAATACAGCTGAGGAAAAAGTTAGAATCCCTGTGATCTATTCATATGTTTCCATCTATACCAGGGGTCGGCAACCTTTTTGATGATGAGTGCCGTCTAAAATGTCCTCAGAAGTCAATGTGCCATATGATTGCATTGGCAATAAATTTAATAACGCTCTATACAGTCATGTGATGTTCCCCTGTAGCTCTAGTAGGGCTGTGCGATATGACCAAAATCTCATATCCCGATATAATACATCTATCGTCCCGACTACGATATAAATCACAAAATTTTAACATTTTCTGTAAATTCTGTGAATCTCGGGCGACTTGCGTGAAGTGTTTACAGCTGGACGTCGTGTACCTGGAGTCGAGTGTTTTAACAGATGCATAAACGACACATTTTTAGTCATAAGTTGTAATGGCTGCCGTTTTCTTTGTGAGTATTTATTACACGGCGTGCTGTGGTGAAAAGCCTGTTTTAAGGTTTATTTTTGAGCTTCTGACAGCTCTTTTTAGCTTCTCATCCGTAAACACTCTGCAAACTATTTCATGTGATTCAGTTTATTTTGAAAAGTCTCAACAGGATCTTGAGCTTTCTTGTGAAAGGTTTGTATGGGAAATAAACAAGCTGACACGCATGGTTTTACCGTCGTTGTTGCTACGACAACGCGTAAAAACATGCTCTTTTCCGTCTGTAGTGTGGTTATATTAAATATAAGAGAAAGAGAGAACTTTAAGAAATTAATATAGCCACTGCAGTGACACAAAACGTTGAAAAAATATTGCCTTAAACTTTTTATTTTGCGACACCACGAAATAAATGATAGCGTAAAATGAAACGATAGATGTTTTTACAGTGTTTTTTTTTATGTAAATGTTATTTTTACAATGTTTGCAGGTTTTTTTTTAAGCTAAAACATTTCCTTTCCAGGTAAAATGTGAGCAGTATTGGAGTTCTGGTACCAAGCGGTGTGACAACATCATTGTAAAAGCAACCTCTGAAATAACACTTGAGGACTGGACCCTCAGGGACTTTGACATTAAAAATGTGAGTGGTTTTCACATTGGTTTCAATATTGTTTTGTCTATATAGTGTCAGTGCTAAAGATAAATATACTACAATAATAGAAGAAAGCCCAACAATTACACGACCCCCTATCACCAAGCATTTGGTAACAATGGGAAGGAAGCATACTTCATACAGCATATATCCATATTTGTAAATTATTTTTGTAATAAATATTTATCATTTTTCAGAAGTATTTTTAGGAAAGGGAGAAACCTTTAGATTGGAAAACCCTATGGTCCCTGAATATTTAACATGGTTTACAGTAGGCGTCCTGCAACCAAAATAGACTACCTATTAAACTTTCCAATGTCTTAACAAATCTATGGTAATAACAAGGTCAGTGTTGACTGAAGTTCTCTCTGTTTACATCTATATAACTAATACTTTGTATCTTTGATTGTTGTAAAAAGGCACTTTTGCTTTTGCTTTAAAACATAAATCCTTGCAACACATTTTTGTCATGTTGTCCAGTTACCGTTTGAGGTATGTGGTAGTGATGTATCAGTCGAGTATGAATCGGGTCTTAGAGCCGGCTCTTTGAAGTGAACGATGGGAGCCGGCTCCTTATCGCGAGCCGTGTTATTTATTTATTCATTTTTTTCCTTTCTCTTACCCTCCCTCTCTCTTACCGAGCCCTGCGAGGGACATGGGAGAAAAAAAATTAAGATGAACTCGCAAAACTTCAAACTGGTGCAAGAACGTGTCCGAAAACGTCGGAGCACTTTTGTCAATATGTGATGTCTTGATAAACCGAGCAGATATTTGAAGTTTACACAGCTACGTTCTTGCCTTATCTTAAGTTTATTTTGTGAGCCAGAAAGTAATATTAAAACTAAGTAGCTATCGCCATAGTTGGAAACTGGAATTGGCCCGGCCTATCCCATAATTCATAGCGCGGCCCAGCCAATTCCAGTTTCCAGCAATTGCGGCATCTTCTATATTTTATTGTGTTGTGGTTTGAAGTGTTTTGTGTTTTTTCACTTTAAATTTGTTGAAACAGAAAAAGCTGAACATTTAAATAGTTAAAAGTTGAATTGTAAATAGTTGTTTTTTGTAATATGTTTATATGTTTTAAAATTTATTTTTTACATTTTATGTGAAGTGAATAAATAAAAGCATATTTATATAATAAACATGTATAAATAAAAAAACCCGCTATTTTTTACATTAGTAATTCATTTTGTGCATAACTTTATATTGTTATTGATAATAAATTAATTAAAGCAACAAAACAACCTAAAGAGCCGCTTGGGAGCCGAAAGAGCCAGCTGTTTATAGTAGGCCGAGCTGAAAGAGCCAGTTCTCTAAAAAGAGCTGGAATTCTCATCACTAGTATGTGTTATTGTGTCTTGAGGATCTTCAGCTGTTTTGAGGTGCTTCGCTGTTTTGTCCTTCAGGTGAAAACAGCAGAAACCCGAGCAGTTCGTCACTTCCACTTCACAGCATGGCCAGATCACGGGGTACCAGAAACCACAGAGCTCCTCATCAGCTTCAGACATTTAGTCAGAGAGCACATGAACCAGTACTCAAAACACTCGCCCACAGTGGTCCACTGCAGGTTTGACAGAGCACACATGCAAATACACTCACAACTTTGTATTTATCCAGTGTGACCTGTTTTCAAAAATATATATATATATATTTATATATCTGTGTTTCTATGTTCTTTATGATTAGTGCTGGTGTGGGGCGCACAGGTACCTTTATAGCCATAGACAGACTGATTTTCCAGATTGAAAGAGAAAATACAGTGGATGTGTTCGGCATTGTTCATGATCTGCGCATGCACCGACCGCTTATGGTGCAGACAGAGGTAGGAATGTTCACATTCACTGTAGTGTGTTGTTTGACGTGATGAGTAATATGCCATATCTCAATGAACTTTTGCATTTGACATATGTGCAGGACCAGTATGTGTTCTTAAACCAGTGTGCTTTGGACATCATCCGGTCGAGAACGGGGACCAATGTGGATCTAATCTACCAAAACACCGCGGCAATCTATGAAAATATAGGCCCAAAAAAGGGGGCTCCCAAAAACGGATACCACAACTCATAGGCCCAGAAGTCCATCAGTTCTTCCATCTCTCTTCACTTTTAGAAAGAAACTGAGCAAATATCTGTGAAGGAGAGGCTGTGAGCACATTTTCCTGGATTTATTTTTATACCTTTTAGGCTTTTGATAACAGTCATCTAGCTTCCTGGATTCAAACTCAGATTATTTGATATTTATTTGTTACGATTTATGAATGTTGACAGTGGACGAAACTGTACGTAGAGCTGCAATAATGGATTATGTGTCTTGGACACTTTGCTATAATTGTATATTTTTGTATTGCTCAGATGTTTTATAAATGCTTCTTAATACTGTATGACTCACTGATAATTAGATCTTTTTGCTCAGGTAGTGTGATGGATGCTGTACAGGTATTTTTGATCAGGAAAAACTTATAATAACCTTTGCCTTGTATAAAACAAATGCTGTTATGAAGACAGTGTGCCTTTTAAAGAGTTTTTTCCACCAGTTCACCAATAGGTGGCACTCTTATGTCTTCAAATGGAAAAGACAGACATCTGAAATTCAGCTGTCTGTTTGTGCATATTTTAAGCCAACATGAACTCTGCAATGTGTTTAAATGAAGGAGCCTTTTGCACATGTATGCACTGTATTGTGAATAATGCACTGGATGCATTTGTCTTCTACACTGTCTACTATGGAGATGTTTTTTTCAGTAGCATTAATATTTTGGCCAGTGCTTTGTAGACTGTTCGGATTATTTCTTTATACATACAATACTTTTATTACAATTTTATTTTTGCAATTTTACTTGCCTCAATAAAAAGCTCAGGAACTCAATTAAACTAAACATGTTCCTAGCATCTATGGTGTTTGTACTTTGACGAACTTAGTCCATTTTTTTCCTTATTTTCTACGTTGTGCATTCCTCACGGAAACTGTAATGTTATGTCACTTCCTGCTACATATCCGATCCTTGTATGGAAATACTGTGATGTTAAAATGGCCAGAGAAGTGCAGGCTTAAAGGACAGGATTTTCCATGAGGCAGATACTTTACTTTTTTAAAGATAATTTAGTAAAAGAGTACGCCTGTAGATATTTTTTAAAACGTATTTTTATTTTATCATAGTGTATTTAAAGCTATTTTAAGCATTTGGGTTTTAAATGAAAAATATGTATAATAATTACTAAGGTTTTAGGATATTTTATATGATGCTTGATGGTACAATGTGAAAATATATATAGAAAAAGGCAAGGATTCAAATTTTGTATACATTTTAACCTGTCATATGAAATGGGATTATATATATTATAAATTCTGGAAAATAGGGGCGTAATACTCCTCTTATTGTTTAAATCCCTCAGCTTCAATATGATTAAAGATTCATATGCTTGCTTTAATGTTACCTCTGGACAATTGTGAGTTTGGATCTATTTACAAAGCTCATCACTCAGAAAATAAACAAACTGCACACTGTGTCACAGCTACTGCAGCATGTCTGATAAACTCATTATGTATATAGTTTCCAAATTGTTTGAGTCAAATGGAAGGATCAAAAGGACCAACACAATACATGACTGCATGCTACAGAGCAGGATTGAGGTGTTACACCTTTGAATTATTCAATTTGAGGTTGCAGGTAGATAAGTGCACCCTCAACGGATGAATAAATAATACCATGTCTGTTTCTTACTTTGTAAGGAAAAAGCTTTTCACAAGGAGACTTTGACAGTTTTACAGCTCAGCACATCAGGCCTTCTGTTGCAAGACTTTGTACAGTAGTGAGGTGGTTTAAAAGACCACTTTTTGTACACAGCATTGTTTTTCTACAAATGTAAGATTTTTTCAGCATGTCAGCTTAAATAGGCCTGCAGTTTCTCAGGCTTCTACTTTTTTCTCCCCCACTTCCCGACATAATTTCTGTCTCATGCCTCTCAGGTCCATAAGTTCGATGTTTAAAAAGTAGATCTGGCATTTGAATGCCCCATTTTGAACATAAATCCTGACCTGCAATTGGAAAATTAAAATAGAACAAAAGATAACTGGGTGATCCAAATTTAATAATAAAAGACCTCAAATGCTTATATGCCACAAATCCACCATAATGGATTACACTAGGATGTTTTTTCTAACCTTCTCTGAAATTGAATATAAAACAACAGTAAAGAGAAAATGAAATATTTGTCATCTGATCTAGGCAAAGGTACTAGACCACTCTTTTTCACTACAGTTTAAATATGGCCATTTCTATGTAAAGACCAGGGATTAGAGTTAGGTCCATATATATATTTGGACATAAGTTCTGCTTTTTGCCTGTTTACTAAGACATTTTCCGAATAGACATGGACATAATGTGCAGACTCCCAGCTTTCATTTGAGGGTATCCACATTGATATTGGATGAAGGGTTTAGGAGTTAATTTGAGGTGTGGTGCTTGCATTTTGGAAGATTTTGCTGTGAACAGACAACATGCAGTTAAAGGAGCTCTCCGTGCAGGTGAAACAAGCCATCCTTAAAATGCAAGAAAAGAAAAAAACATCCAAGAAATATTATGAGTGGAAAAATGTAGAGTTTGGTACATTCTGAGAAAGAAAGGAAGCACTGGTGAACCAAGCAACACGAAAAGACCTGGATGTCTATGTCTATCATCCACCATCATCTATGGTGGATGATGGTGGATGGCAAAATCATTTCCTTGGTCAAGAGAAATCCCTTCACAACCAAGTGGCCAATCAATATCCAAGTCTAACATAAAGAGAAGACTGCAAGAAAGTAAATCCAGAGTTCCACTGCAACTGCAAGCCACACATAAGTCTCAAGAATAGAAAGGCTAGGTTGGACTAGGCTAGATTTGCAGAGGCAGTGCAAGGGCTTGGGTGTGCACGGCTGCCAGTGGCACTGGGACGCTAGTGTTCATTGATGATGTGACACAGGACAGAAGCAGCTGAATGAATTCTGAGGTGTTCAGAGACATGCTGTCTGTTCAAATCCAGTTAAATGCAATCAGATTGATTCGGTGGTGTTTCATAATGCAGATGGACAATGACCCAAAACATACAGCAACCCAGGAGTTTGCTAAAGCAAAGAAGTGGAATATTCATGAATGGCCAAGTCAGTCATCTGATCTTAACCCAATTGAGCATGCATTTCACTTGTTGAAGACTAAACGTCAGACAGAAAGGCCCACAAACAAAAACCAGCTGAAAGCTGCAGCAGTAAAGGCCTGGCAGAGCATTAAAAAGGAGGAAACCCAGCATCTGGTGATTTCCATGAGTTCAAGACTTCAGGCTTCAATACCAGCAAAGGGCTTTCGAGTATTAGAAATGAAATTTTTATTCTTAGTCTTTTAATTTCTCGATTTACTTTTGAAACCCTAAAACTAAGGGATTGCGTTAAAAAAATTCCTCACACTTTTATGCAATGTTTTTATTCTACCTAAAAAATTAAAGTTGAAAGGCTACACTTAAGGTGCATTTGAGTTTTTTCATTTGAATTTCATTCTGGGAAATCTGTCCAAATATATATGGACCTAACTGTATGTGCAAATATGAATTATACATTTATAATAAAAAAATTGTGTGAAAATGTTTGCTCTTATAATTTTTCTGCCAAGCTATATGAACACTTCACTGAGTCTGAGAGTCTTTATCTTTACTATCTACATTTATCTAATATGAATATTTAATGCTAAAATTCTCTGCAACATCTTGATAAACTGAGACTCTAGATTTGAGATCGAACCAGATTAGCATGTATAGATCTTATACTTTATTTTTTCTAATTTCATTTAGATTTTTATTTATAAAAAATATGCCCAATATGTGATCTGGATGAACTTCAAATGCCCACCTCTGGGACATGAAATTAGCTACACATCAACCCCGCAAAAGTAAAAGTCTTCATCTGTCATTTTACTACAACAAAATGACATACACTGGCAGGGAACAGTGTGCTGCCTAAAGAGTATCTGATATTGCATGTAAACTTATTTTATGATTGTATATTTTTATTTTCTACATGGAGTATGTTTACATTATGTAATACACTTCATTAAAAACATAATGTATATGTCAGTAGGAAATTCTCACTTATGAAGTTTTGTTTGTCCGTTTTGACTGGTCCCAGTTTGTGTACAAGCGTTTTCCACAATAGTAAATGTAAGCAGACGTGAAACTGAATCTGAAGCGGAAATGTGTGCCGGTGTTTATCTTGTAGGTCACATGCAGCTGGTGTTGTACGCTGCTACGGCCACAGGTGGCGCCATAGCTCCCTGTGTGTGACGGGCAGCAGATGATCCAGTCCACTCCGCACTCTCCATGTTGAGAGGAACCGAGCAACTTGTTCTCCAACCGTCCGTCACAGCCCACCTACTGACCCCCTAAACCACCCAGCTGTCTCCATACAGCACCGTGCTATGACGCTGGACTGGAAAAGAAGCTTAGGAGCAAGTGCATGATCGTTTCCCTGATCGACAAAGAGTGAGTTTCTGTTACTACAGCACACCGCTAAGCACAACTTGCTATTTTTAGTCAACGTTACTTGTATCTATACAACTAACCCATGTTTTATGAGCTAACTGCTAGTTAGCTCTGACAGCGCTGAATAACAAAATGAGGGAAAAAATTGCGCGTTTCGTGGCATCCACGCTGTAATTTTAGTCTTCTCATCGTCGCAGCATATGAAGGAATTCGTTCAGTGGTTATAGTAACGTCATTCTGAGTGTTTGGTTTGCCGTCTCGTTGGGTAGCAGCTAACCTTACTAGCTTGTTGCCTCAAGTAAACCCCTCATCGCCACGTTAGCAGAGCAGCCCGTGCCCCATGCGGCTGCAGCTTTGCTGTCACTCGTTTGCATAGCAACCACGATCCCCGCCGATGCCCAGGATGGCTGCAACAAGCGAGTGCACGTACCTGTATGTGCTGCTTTTATGTTAAATCAGTTACAGTGTTGCGTTCACTTGCTTTTGTTACAAACTGTAAATAAATGAAAAATGCGTGTTATTGTGCTGTTAAGCACATGTGGCGGAGGATCATAGGAGTATTAACTGTAGTCATTAATCAAGCAGTCTGTAAAGTCTCTGTATCATCTATGTCCCACGTGGGATGCGACGTTTTGCTTTGACTTTACTGCAGAGTGCAGATAATTCAAAGCAGAGCGACGAGGCTGGCAGACATTTAAATGTCAAATATGTGCAGGACAGTCCAAGACCTCGCCAGCGTTGGCCGGCTGCACTGTTGCAAGTGTGATACCAAACGTGTAACCTTTTTCATGGGTTCACCAGGAACACATTGTAAAAGCCAGGTAGGGTTTTCTGCAAAGAACGCTTTGAAACTCACCTTAAATATTTTTTTAATCTAACGACACACGCCTCCTCCATATTAATTTGACAAGAAATTAAATGCTGTGATTGCCAAATTTGGGGTTCATAATAACAGATGTTTAGGTGCCCTACTTTCTGCAAGTTTAAAAAGTAATCCCAAGCAAAGCTGATAAAAAGCAACATATAAATACTGGCCACTTACATTAGAAAATGCCTTCTTGTTTTCAGAAATCTATAAACAGGTGATTATCAGTATATGCATGAGCGCTTCCTTCATTGGTGCCAGTCTACATTCATTGACAAGTCAGATGCTGCAGCGCAGAAATGCCAAAACAGAGTGTTTTTTTGGGGTCACTCAGAAACACAGACTTCATTACATAGCTTGTTTGTTTACAAGACCACGCTGAGAACGTTGCCAGCTCCGTCATGTAGTTCTCATTAAATTGTCTGAAGTTTCTGAAAGGAGTTCCTCCCACAGCAATATCAATAAAAAGTAATTAAAAAGATCCACATTGGCATTTGTGCACATGTTAGGGGTTTGTGAAAAAAGTGCAGCTTAAGAAACAGAAGATCATGAGTTTCTTCAAGCTTTTTAAAAAAATAAGTGCGGGTCAAACGATACTCGTGGCATTTGATCTGGATGAGATGATGACTAACTGTGGAGGCTTTTCACTGCCACTTTGTCTCATCCATCTTTAATTGTGTGGTATTATGTCGAGTCTGGCTTTGCTTGTGATGAGAATAACACTGGAGTGCTGGAGTGCACTTTAGTTAATAGTTAAAGGGTTTAGTGGAATGTTTCACCCTTGGTTGAAGTGAAAATAGATAATATGTGGGAAACTGCTGCAGAGCTTGACGAAGAGGCAGTTTTAAAGTGTGTCACTTGTTCACACTCTCTACTTCTTTATTTGCTTTGTTGCTTCAGCCTTTCTGGGTCTGCACATTCACTGGACTCAGTCTTTTAAAGAGGGTTATATAGAATGATAAACGTCTAACGTGCACTGTCGTCATTCACCATCAGATAAAAAATTGATCTGATATTGAATTACTGCAGAATGTCCTACTATGAGTGGTGGAAATAGCTGAG